ACCGGGTGTTCCTTAAGGTCACTTCTTTCAAGGGAATTAGTAGGTTCGACAGGAGGAGAAAACTGAATCCCCGATTTATTGGACCATTTAAAGTCTTGTACAAGATTGGTACTGCCGCCTACAGACTAGTACTGCCTCCAGAGCTCTCCAAGGTCCACAATGTGTTCCATGTATCCATGTTACGTAAGTACAACCCGGACCCCTCTCATGTCTTGGCTCATGAACCGCTTCCACTCCAAGAGGACTTGTCTTATGAGGAAGTACCAGTCAGTATCACGGACCGAAAGAGCAGAATACTTCGCAACTGAGAAATATCATTTGTAAAGGTCATGTGGCAGAACCACACGCCAAGGGAGGCTACCTGGGAGCTAGAATCAGACTTTAGAGCCCAGTATCCTCATTTATTCGATCAAGAGTAAGAGGCAAATTTGGGGGACCAAATTTCCTTAAGAGGGGGAGAGTTATAACACCCCAAAATTTTATTATTATTTTTATGAATATTGTTTTTAATTTCATTTTAAATTTTTGTAAATTTTAAATAAAATAAAAGATTATTTAAGTAATAATATATGGTTTTAATTTAGTTTAATTTAATTAAATAGAAATAAAAATAATAATAATGATAAAAATGGGTAAAATTATTTTTGGGGTTTAATTGAAAATAATTTTGGGAAAAACATGTGAAAAGTCGGATTCTGGGGGTCTTTTTAAAAAGAAAATTAAAAACCAGGGGTCAAAACACAATTTAAAAAAATTGTGCCACGTCAGCAACCACGTCAGCAGACCGGTCAGCAGCCCCGGCCAACCAGGACACGCCTCGTGGTAGAGACGCTGACGCGGGAGGCCACGCGGAACAGAGCCACGTGGGCGATACCCTTGCGCCCGATCGGATGGCTGAGATCCATTCCCGCGCATACGGACGACCCAGATCAAACGCGCATGCGGGCGGCCCAGATTGCACGCATGTGGACGGCCCAGATTGAATCACGCACGGACGGCCCAGATCGCATCGCGATGGATGGTCCAGATTTATTTCTAATTTAATCGCGATCGGACGGCTCAGATTAAATCGTGATGGACGGCTCATATTAAAAGGATAAGGTTATAAATAATCTCATCCACACCCAACCCCAAACCCTAGCCGCCAGAGCCCTCGCCGGAGAAGACAGCCCAGCCACCGGAGGAACCGACTGCCGCCACCCGCCGCCGCACCGGAGCACTTTTCGGCCGTCAAACGAGGTAAAAATTTTTCCTTTGGCTCAAATTTTAATGCTAAACCCTCCTGTGGCCAAATTGGAGCCAAACCACCGGCCAATTGGCTGAAAAATACTGCCGAAGCCCAGCGGCGCCCCCGCGGGTTTCCTCAATTTTTGCCTCCGATGAGGCTCTTCCCGATTCTCGTTCGATATAATTTTTATACTACTGTGACCACCGTCCTTTCCTCTACAGGTTGACCAGAGCAAAACACCAAATCGCGACTCGCGCCGGAGGAGTCGTCGCACCCGAGAGCTCCGCCGCTGGTAAGTCTTGGTTTTTTTGAGTTTTTTTGACCCACCGAGGGCTTTATGTGTGTTTTCTCGCAGGAACTGGTGCTAATTTGGCTGAATTTGGCCAAAAACGGCCGAAAACAGCCAACCCGAGGCAGATCACTGCCGCGGGCGGCGACATCGTCGCTGGAGCACGGCGGAGCCGACGTGCCGGAATTTTCGAAATTTGCCAAGTAGGCCATGAGTCTGATTTGGAGTTTTTTGGGGACATGTATAGGTACCAGAAATGTGTTTCAGTTCTTGGGAAAAAATTTCAGAGAATATAGGGATCGCCCGTAGGCACAGTGAAAAACCGATCTTAGACTTCCAATCAAGTAAGGATTACTCACCCTATTTCCTATCACGACATTAAAGCTTAATAAATGACAAAACGGTATTTTATGAATTAATAGATATGTATAATTAAATAAGGTTGCTAATGGAGCCCGAATCTGATATATTTTCGGTCAGTTACTGTTTTAGTTATTTTACAGTTTTAAATGCATTATGGTATCTGATTTATTTATTCTATGGTTTTGAATGCATGAATCACTGTTTACTTCATTATGGCTTGATTTTGTGAATCTGATGATATGCCTGCATTGTTGGATGCTAGTTACTGGTTTAAATATTCATGATTTTGTGAGAAATAGAAAACTAAGAAAAGAATAGAAAAGGTATGTGAATTGATAAATGGATAAGTCGATAACCTCACTAGATATCTTGGGAGATGGTGGACAGAGCGGGTTCATAAGGAACCCTACCGGGAACGTTGTCTCTCATACCAGATGTGGTATGGGGACGGCTCGCTTTACCCTCATATCGGACGGGGTATTGAGGTTTATTGTTTTGGCGCCCATACCGGACGGGGTATGGGGACGGTCCTAGAATTAAGTTGTTAAAATGAATGGTTCACGTGTGGCGGGAACCCCTATGGATCCCCATGGATACTGGTAGGCTGATAAAAGATGAAAGTTTTTGCCTGATGATTGAAACATTAAAAGTATGACACGTGTTATGTTACAGAGTGCATATGATTTCATGATATTATAATGTTATTGTTTTTATAAGTTGTTTTCATGAATCTCATTGAGGTAAGTGGACAGTAAAGGGTTTTATCATTGATAAATAAATTTTTTATAAATTATGCTCTATTGGTCGTTTTTATTTTCCACCAACCTTTAATTCTGTGACTGTGAGATAGTATGACGTCTTTACTAGGCTAGTGTAGCTCATTCCTTACTTAACCATTTCAGATCAAGAGGACTTGGTTCCCGAGTCCGTTCTGCAGGAAGACGGCGAGTAGATACGTAAAGATTTTATTGTTTTCCCTATAGTATTCATTTCTAGTATTTATTTTAGTTAGCTTATTCTTTCATACGTTTAATACGTTTTGGTTATTGTGTAAGGGATGTTAATCATAATATTTTATTTCGCTTCCGCATTTAGAATTTTTACATATACGTTTCCTTTTAAATTTCCGGGTCGTTACATAAATCATCAAAGAAAACCCTACCTCCATAAGAGGAAACTCTGATCCTCTCTCATCCTTTAAATATGAAGCAAAACAGAGAAGAACGACAGCTAGAAAATAGCAA